GTCAAAGTAATCACATGACAGTGGATATATAAAGTGAAGGTTTTTTTCAGTATATTTAGAGGAAGTATGGATGCCCTTGTACAAGAGTCAGATGAGGCCTCATATAGTTTCAGTAACTCATATTCCAATGGTATTAGATTTGTGAAGATGATTAACAGGCTAGACCCTGTTACAAGATGGAGAAAAGAGCGGGGAAGGCTTATTTACCATAAGAAGTGAACCAGAGTACACATATTCCCTCTGGGTTTTAGACAGAGGGGAAGGATTGTTTATGTTAAGTAACAATACTGATGCAAGAGAAAATGTGTACAAACAGGCTATGAATAAATTTGGGCAGAAAATTAGAAATTTTGTAGCTGGAGCCCTCTTTTGCTGGGCATTGCAAGGATGAGGTGGGCTTGACCAGTTTGTGAGATCTAGGGTTTGAATCCATTCACCTGCTGCTGACTAGGGTTATCCTCTCCCTCTCTGTACTCCTTGGTAAGACAATTTGTTGATTCAGCTGTGCTCAATATTAGGCAAGGAGATGTCTGCACTGTTAAAAGAAGAGGAAAACCTTGCTGGGTGATTGATTGTTCCAGGGAGTCGTGCCTGAAGGGCATATATGTTCCAAAACCTTTTGTAACGAAACCTTGTGGTAAAGGGAGTTGAGATTGTTAAAAAAATGTGTAGCACTGCTCCTTGTATAATTCTGTAATAAGACTGTGAATGCCAGCTGTACTGAGTAATCAGTACTGAGAAACAGTGTGCAGTTTCAGGTAATGAAGCAGCATCTGGCAACGGCAATTCCCCGTAAGCACACTTCTACTCAATGTGTGCAATGAGTTTTTAGGAGACAGGCAATCTACAGACGTGCTTCGTGCTGGCGTATGTGCTTTAGATTTGACATTAGTCACGTAGATGATTTCAGAGGAGTTTCCTGATGAGTACATCCTGAGATAAACCAGAGTGATATTACAGGGGAAAAAAAGCAAAAGCTTTGTAGCGTGGAGCTTCCTTGTTAACATGCAGAGCATTAGACTGAAATTGGGATAAGAGTTGACATCATGAGCAATGCCAAAAATTGCATTAGATACCCATGAGTGCAGGGCAAGGCGTTGGACAGTTTTGCCTGGTTTAGTACTTCTTTTCTCTTGAAGTACTAATATGCTGTTGGCACTATTCAGTACAGCTGACTGTTTCTCCTTTTAACAGTTGTTATTTGAGACAACTCTTTTTATATAATGCAAGTCAAGTATTCTTGGCCTGTAGTATGTTGGGTAAGCTGTTTTACTCTGTTTGTTCTCAGGTCAATTTTCTGAAGAAACTGAAAAATCTGGTTTTAGATTTCGCACCTGCTCAGAAATTTGCTTGGCCACCTTCCCACTGGACACTTCCTCTTCAGTGGGACGTGCCGTAAGAGGTCCTAAGGCCCGTAGGAGTGCTGGGCCCTTTTACAAATCACGATTACATTGTGTGATGCACGTTCATGTCCTGCATCATATTAGCACTGGCTGAAAATAAACACCAGGCTGCTGGGTGCCCCTGCTTGCAGTGTCCAGCTACCGTGCGGGTCTTAGGTCCTTGGAGGAGTATTTCCCTTCTCTGTAGAGGAACCTGCACAGACACAGCCATCCAAATTCACTGAGCTAAATTGGGTGGTGTGTATGAATCCCCTTCGGGGTTGTCTCTGCTCCAAGCAGTAGGTGTCAGTGTGCACCCATCATAAAGGGTGATCCCAGTGCA